CATATACTTAACTAGATCTTGTACAGGTAGCATTCTGGTATTCATGGTTACATTATACGAATCTTTCGAACTTTTGCTGCAAATGCATCAATTAAATTATCAAAATTTAAAGTATTAAGTACGTCTTTTTCAATACTTAATATTGCCAAGTTACTAAGTCGTTATTGATTCATTGAGGTTCTCAAGTATGTAAGAATTAATTTCAGCTTGCTGAAGGACCTTTCACAACTAGTAATTGAAACCCCAACTGTTAACAAAATCTGCAATGCAATTATTAAATTTGGGAAAACGTCTTCACAATATGGAATTATGAATGTTAGCAAATCAGTTGCAACCATTGGTTCAGGAAAATCGGTCTGTGTTCTTTTACTTATCAGCATTCTACAGTCTTTAATTTCTCTGTAAAATTCTGGTCCATCAATATCACCTGGATAGCTGTTTGCTAAGTCAAACATTTTTCTTGCAATTTTCCTTCTTCGAAATCTCCAGAAACAATATTTTGCACATCTAGTAGAAATTCAAACCGTGAATCTAAATCTAGTAAGCGAGAAAATCTTCCTGTTATTTCTGTAATCAAGCGATCAATAACGTCATTCATGATAAGATAAATTTCCTGTTTAACAGTCAATCCAGCATCAGCTGCATTTTCACCTGGCATTCGTTTACGAAGTATTTTTCTTCTTTCAATGATCAATCTCTATGTTTCACATTGATTCTTGCCCACTTTAAGTGCTTCTTGACAGGACTTTTTCATGTAATTCTATCAATTTCTCTTTCAAAGAATCAAGATCAGCAGCTGCTTCTCTTAAATTCATTTTTGAGTCCTGAAGACGTTTCTGCACTCGATTGATAGATGATAAAAGATTTCTCCAAAATTGCAAAAGTACAAGAAAATCAAATGTAAGCATGCGTTGTAGAATATTATGAGCACCACATTTTGTTTCAGCCATGTTGCCATTCTCACTTGATTGCTCCAACAGTCCTAGCAATTCATCCAGTTTTTCATGTACAACTTTTACTGCCTTTTCTCTGGCACCCCACAGTGTTTCTGATTCGCGCTTGCAGTTGTTGAATGAGCAAAGAAATTATAAATGACTTCAATTATATCAAAAAAAAAAGAGATAATAACTGTTGTTTCCTGATTTGCAGCATGAAGACATGCTAAGTTCAAACTATGGTTGTCACAGTTTATAAACACTGCTTTTTGGATTTTTGTTCAGAATTCTTTGTTGAACGCCTGACATGGCAGCAACATTATCATAACATTGTGAACAACAATAACTCAATAAAATTCCATCTGCTTATAATTTTGTGCTATTGTTTTCTCAATATTGGCAGCGTCTTTTTCCATTATCTGTATAAAGTCAATAAATGACTCTTTGACTTCTACTTTTCTTAAAGTCAATGTCAACAAACCGAATCAATTGGGCCAATTGCTCAGAATACCATAGTATTTGTTTATACGAATTGCTGACAAACAATAATTTTGCACATGAATTTGCATTTTGCAGCTCTTCATCAATGCCACTTTGAAGACGAATTCGGCACTCAGTTTCTTTCCAAGCAGCAAATGACTCACGATGACTGTTACTATTTTCATGGGCATTTAACTTTTCAATTTTTTTCCACTTAGAAAATCCACCGTGTTTTGAAAGCAGACCGACTATCGGATGTCATACATGTAGATGAAAAAAGAAGACAACAAAAGCAGTATGCTGCTTTATGTAGAGGTGAATACACCAACCAGAAGGCGTCGTTTGAACCAAAATGCAGTCATCAAACGCCCATCTTTGGCATCAAATGGAGCTTCTTTATGTTGAAATTCATGTGCTCCAACTTTAACATTCTCTGTGCGATGTGCATGTGTTACAACTGCTGAGCCTGTTGTATCAAACTTCATAAATCCAATATCCTGTATGTTAAAATATTTGTTAGGTCATCCTCTTTTAGCTTAGCAACACTATTCTGTGAATTTATTTCTGACAAAGTGGAATCCTCTTGTTTATTATTATTGTAGCTTTCAACATGACAGAAAACAGTTTCTTCATTGTTTTATTTTTCAAATGAAATAGCATGTTTACAATCTTGACTTTGCTGCCATCGAAAGGAACAGATGCTGACTTACTGGTGCCATCACTTCCAGCAAGGAAAGCTCTCATGAATTTGCTTGACTACACCACCGAAGCTTCAAATTGTGCACGTCTGTTGCATCCCTGTGCCCCCCTTTCTTTTTTCGACATAATGGGCTAAAAGAATAAATTAACAAATACTGACTACACTATTTAGCTGCAACATGCAAATTGTTAGATGAAAGGAAGCATTCTACTTTCCTAAATTCCTAACCACAAATTATATTTAAATTATACAATTATAGTTGCAACTCAGGACTAGTTAGGCACATCTAGACCTGGTTTCACTTTAACTGCCATTATTTAGACCATCCATGCTCATGTTAATTAAGGTGACACAACAGTAAGAAAATCAATGCAGATGAGTATATATGCTGGTAAATCATGCTTATGAGCACCATATAAATTACTGGCAGTTGCTAAGTCACATTTAAAAACTCAATAGGTTTAACTACACGAACGCTACAGGAGACAAGTCTGAAATTGCTCGAATTACACGCACTGTGGAGAAGAGTGTAATCATAACATAATGTAACCCTAGAGGCTCAAAGGCCATATTTAATATTAAAGGTTTTGAAAGAATGAGAAAACTTAAATATAAGCTAACTAATTAGTGGTGCTAGATTACAGTTCCTAGATTAAGTCACTAGTACACCTAGATCTAACATTAATGTTAGGCTTGTTATTTCGATCTTTTTAGTCTTAGGTTTGGATCTAGATGTAATAATAATGACAGAAATTTAGCTTTATACATATAATCTAGACCTTAGATTTGAGTGCATAGATTGAAAGTACCTTGTATTGAATCTACCCAGATCTAGATATAACCTTGCCTCATCAATTCTACATTTAGATTTATTAGGCCTAACTTTTAGAACAAATGTTACATCTAGATCTATTAACTTAGTCATTAGATCTGTCCTAGTGCAATGCCTAGTTTAATAGTTAGTATAGGTCTAAGTATGCCTATAATATAGGTTACAATTTGTATGATGATGGACGTATGATCTAGAAATAAAGTTATAACTGCAATTAGACCTAAAGTCTAGTACATTAGTTGGTGTAAGACATGATTTACAATCAACCAATACAATTACAAACCACTACATTAGGCCTATAATGTTTACTAGATCTAGATCTAGGCCTTGCTTGTTGCATATATTGCCAATCTTGCACACTAGTTACATCAATCTCATATTTTCTTTTTGTTGAACATACACTTACTTGTACGTTGTACTCTAGGACTTGTATTTGACCTAAAGATGAATGATGGAATAGTGTAATTTACTTCTGTACGTCAATTCGGTCTCACTGTATTTCAGTGGACGGCTTTGAAAAGTTAAAACTGCAAGAGTAATACACACAAGTAACGTAACACTGTGTCGTATTTACTTAACGAGGGGCAGTTGCGCTATATCCTAGGGGAGGGCATAATTACTAATTATTAGGCATTATAGGCCAGAGGAAATTTTGCGCCCCTCACACCTGCGCCCGGGGGCGACTGCCCCCTTGCTACGCCACTGCCTAACATCATCCATCCTCTCCAAAAGATTTTTTGTCACTCTTATAACATACCAAGCTTTAAGTGGAGGATATTCGAAATCCAGAGCTTTTACCTCAGGGTCAAGCCGCACCCTGAGTCGTTCTAACTTTTATACTTAAAGTTATATAAGTCTATATTTTTCTTACAAAACTTTTTAACATAGTTTTATTTTTCAGTACTTTGCCTAAGCATTGAAATATTTATCTTCATTCCAAGATTTTCAGATGAAAGTCAGAATAATTATGTAACTGGTGCCTTAGAGAGATAATTTAATATTTCTGTGGCTGATTTCTATTTTGAAATATTGGTTGTTGAACTAATCTATTGGTTATATATTGTAGTTACATGACTACCAATGACTTTGCCGTCCTTTTCAGAAGGCTGGTGGAGGTAGCATTAATGCGTAATCATAAGTAGCTTGAACACAATCGATAATGAAAGAAGTACTAGGAAGTGCAGTAGGGGACATAGAGCCAATGAAAGCAATAAGCTCTCAGTAATAACAATAAAGCTGCATATCATACAACTATTATCAAAGCAATTTAAAACAGATTTCATTTATAAATGCTAAATATATATTAATATTGTCTACAAAAAATAATGAGTAAGAGAAAAAAAGAGTCCAAAAAAATTGCAATCAGGAAATTATCTATGACAAGAGGATTCCTGTTGAAACAGTTCAACTGTAATTTTCCTAAAAATAATGATGAATGAATATTCAATGTGCAGTGAACCCAATCCCTTGGAACAAAGCATGTATGTAATATGATTGTCTAGTGGGCCGTTTATAACCGGCTTTTGTCATTCCATATGTTATTTCAATAAGGAAAATTACATAGTGTTTTTTTTAAGCAAAGGAGACTGACTGCAATGCATTGTTTGATGCAATGGGTCCATCCAACACAATAGAGCGCTCGGATTCTGTAAGTAGTCCCGGGGATTTTTCCACTGGATGCCACCGTTTCTTGTCATTTTACTGAGTAAAATAAAGAACCAATACCGAAGTGAGCGTTTTTTGATAGTTGTCATTTTACTGAGTATGTGCTGACGGATCGACGTTGATATCAATATGAAATTTTAGGAATCGCAAAAATTAATAATTTCCCCGTAATGTACTCTTCGAAAAAAGCATTTTTATATATATATATGCATATTTTCTTTTTATACGATTAACCGTCCAGACAGACGTGACAGACAAAGAGAGAGACAGACATTTGGTTATTACATATTTAGGTCTCCAATCTGCTAGAAGAATTTTAAAGGATAAAATACAAATTTTAAGTACTTTATAACATATTATATTTACAATTTAAGAGTAAAGCAAAACAGTGTTGTTTGTTTTTTCAAATATATGCTTAATCGAAATCGAATCTGTTAAATATATAACAATATGACATTTATTTAACCTTCAACGTTATCATTTTTATAATACGTTTACTTCGCCTGAAAATATGGACATGCAGTTTTATAAGTTTGCGATTTACTACATACTTTCTGAATGATTCTGCAAAATACGTGTTTATTCACAGACTAAAATTTTCAGAGATATTTGAAAGCATTTGTTTCGTCTTCAACTGAAGAATCTAAATACCGCGAAAACAAGTAATTTATTAGGGAAATTACGGTACTTCTTGTTCTTATATATCAGAGGTTTATTTCACTATCTTTCTTTATAAAAACAAAGCACTGGATAGATACATTAAGTCCTGAGCAAAAGGTGGAGCATTTTGAAATTTATAAAATAATTGAATTTAAAATGACCTAGCAGACTGTGATGCATTTCAGTGTTGTATACTGAATGTTTAAGTTCCAAACTGTTACATTAGAAATTTTATACACGTGAAATTAACTTGCTTTCTAAATATTAAATAGTAATATAGAAACGTTCAACAAATACTTGACCACTTGTAGTTAGAATGTTATATGCTTTAGCATATGATCGGGTAATATAACACTTTAAAGCTCTACTTGACCACTTGTAGTTAGAATATTATGTTTTAGCATATGTTTGGGTAATAAAACATTTAAAGCTTTAAGTGGATTAATATCTGTCAGATTAAGTCATACCTGAGCTGATAAGAGTGCTTTCATCTTCAGAAGAAATTTAATTGTTAGGCAGCTATCAAGCTTGTCATTTTGTTCTGATTCTTCTTTTCTGTCATCCCTGTGTTGAGCTCCATGACACAAAACTGCACAATGTAAGGGAGTCTGACCTAATAGATTAATCACAATATTACTTTCAATAACTAAAACAAACAGAAAATATTGTTATTTTCAGTTACACATTCTTTAAACTATAAAATGTAAAATTAATAGTGAAAAAGATAAAATTAGCTCAACATTAAATCGCATAAATATATGTACAAAATAAGTGTCATTCATTAATTCCGAGGTTGTTCAAACATAGCTGATTAAATAATTACTGAAACGGAAAGAATATGATAAATAAAACATTTTTCCAATAGAATCAGCTGATAAGAAGTTGTCAGGTAACAAATATTTTTATTTCACAGCCAAATAGTATCAACTTCATTTTGCTTAGTTTATAGTCATATATGATAAAAAAGTCATTTCTGTATTAACAAATTTCCACTTACTTTCATTAATATATAGTATATTGCTATTATTTACATGACTATAAATTTGTCATTAACACTTAATGAAAATTTTATCCACCAAAGTGAACCTATACTTGTACATGATTTGAAGAATGTTCATAATTGATGTTACTAATTTCGGATGTTACTAAGTTATTCAGCAGACAAATTGTTTAAGATACTAAAATAAATATAAAACTCAATCTATCTTTCGATTCACCTCTTGTCACTGAGTTATATCGGTTTCGGGAAATTGTATCCATCATCACTAACTCTGGACAAGGGTTATTAATAGTGATAACAAAGTGATTTAATTAAATTTTGAAAGTAACTATGTAAAAAGCCCGTTATATGCGTACTTTGACCCACCCCTATCCAGAGGGTTTAATAGAGATATCCTTTTAACTTTGTATGGACAACACAGGCCTGCGAATTTAAACTTCATAAAAGTTGTTTTGGTTTCAATAACGTATTTCCATAATTCAGTTACGCAGATTTCGAAAATAATATTCATTTTTTTTTCTATCACGTAAGTATTTTTTACAAATCGGGAAGAAAAAACTCTTACTTAGATCAAATTATTATTTCCTTTACCAAAATTATTTTTTTTTATTATTGTGTTTGGGTTCTAGAACGATCGATAACACTCTCACGTCGCGATTGGTCTAGAGAAACTTATAGCTAGTGGTTTTCAACATTTTAAGCATAACAACATGTGACCCGATTTCAATGAAAATGATTCACTTATGTAAAGTATATGTGACGTTTTGTGAAAAATCTGCACATGATGGAGATAAATGGATATCATTTTCGGATTTAGCGTACAGGAATTACTGTAAAACATGTAAAAATTTCAAGACAATAAAACCATCGCAAACCTTTGTAATCGGTGAAGGCAATGCACAATAATCTAAACAAAAATAAATGTTCCTTCAAGAGTTATGTTCAGTAGCAAAACTCACTCTCATTGAACCACGATGTATAGTAGCATTTTTATGTGTGCAGAGGGGGAGGGGGGTATTTGTCTATTTTAAAGCTCCCAAGGCACTTAAAACCTTGTTAGTAGATAAATGCAATTCTACTCACACAACTTATTTCAATATTACAGCTTCATATTTCTTCTGTAATGGTTAAAATGTTCATTCCTACCCAGATAGTGTTTCATGAGTTCACTCAACGCACTCCAGTTTTGAGCTGACAAACTTTAATCAACAGCGATATATTATTTGTTCCACATTTGTGTCTCATAGAGGCACTGGATTGCACTGAATTAATGATTTCACATTCGTATACTCACAGTTTATATGATCCTGTGAATGCAAGTGTCATATTTATCTTTTGGTATCATTGCCATGCGATAAATACTGTATCATCTCTTGTCTAACACTTCAAAGCCAACCGTAATGAATCTCTTACAAAGTTTTGGTTGTAACACTGAAACCTTCGAATATACATTCGTATACAAGACTTCATTCAAAACTTTGTTTCTCAGTAAAAAATTAAATTTCTAAATGCCTTCCATTCAGAAGGCATGTCAGCCTTTGTTACTCTCTTTGACGCTTTTCTTAGTCTTTTGGTTTATGACATGTGCTATTGGCATGTTTCTGCTTATACCACTGTGAATTTTAATTCACGAGTCTTTCCCTAAAATTAAGGTTGTAAGTAACTTGGGTAGTTACTGACCAGGTAATATTGCTCTACATCATTTTATATCTCAATGAATGAAGGTTATACTGCCAACGCTTATGGATTAAGAAGGCTGAACGACACTTAACCGCACCTCCATATCTCTGCCAGTTATACTTTCTTTGTTTTTCAGACACTCATTCTATTGGATAGGGTATAGAGGAGGTTGTATTAGCCCTAAGTGTTTGAAACTTCTGATATTATTAGAACATACAACTACCCTTGAACAATGACTTATTAATACTTTCTAGATTCTTATATAAACCAAATCTATAGTTAGAAATTAATTATCGATAACTTTTATATATCTCACACAGCTGAAGGTCAAAGACTGAGTTGTCAAGAGCAACATGAAAAGTTTTCGTGACAAATTAAAGAGCGTAAATATATATATAATGTAAAACGTACACATCTTTCTTATATTAAGCATTAACGCTAAAGATGCGATACACTGGACATCATTACAAAAAGCTATAGTCCAATATTAAATGAATAAAAGATATTATTAATGTAGTCTGCTTGGGTTTTTATAAACAAAACAGGACACTACAAGAAAAATTTCTTCACTTGTACGAGAACAGTTAACAAAGTTACCGAAAAGTAACAATTACGTCTACATCAATGAAACCACAAAATATCAAAGGGAGCCCTCATCTAATCATAGAGAAAAAAAGTGATAACGCTAGAGACACACATAACATACACACTTCCTGAAATAGCGTTTCATACTGATTAGAGACCTAATTTTTATACTAAAATATGGAAACTAAGAGAAATTAACATTTAATAATTATCTACATGTATAACTGGTAAGTTAAATAAATGTGAAGTTATGCTGTGATGGATCATATTAAATCAACAAATGGAATCAAGTCAATAATGGTATTGCTTTCACTATCAATAGTATCACTTCTCAATAATCCAGCAGGCAGAAATGTAGTTCAAAGTCTTCTATAATAATGGTATTGCTTTCACTATCAATAGTATCACTTCTCAATAATCCAGCAGGCAGAAATGTAGTTCAAAGTCTTCTATCACTAGTAATTTAGTATGTTAGTGAAATCATGTAGTATTTTCGATATTATGACTTTTCATTTGATGTTGTTGATTTTTTTCTTTCGTTTACCTTTCGTTTATACCACAGATATCAATCTCCTATTTTAATGTGATTTTTCCAAGCCCGTTCCCTTGCCTGTGGTTTCGCTAGATAGTAGATAGGGACAGTGGGAATCTCGTTAATCCATTCATGCGCGTCACTAATTAGATGACGAGGCATTTGGCTACCTTAAGAGAGTCATAGTTACAGCAATATGCCATATCTTATAACACCATAAAAATAAATAAAAACTGATTTTTCTTGTGGATCATGAAGACTATCATGTAGAACAAATCGTAGTGAATCTGTTTTTTGTTGTTTTTTTAAATGAAAAGTAAACGTAAAAGGAGTTATAATTCATCTTTGGGATCTACTATTCATGCATTATTTCCTCGCTGATTTTTCCAAGCCCGTTCTCTTGGCTATGGTTTCGCTAGAAAGTAGATAGGGACAGTGGGAACTGGATTCAGTTTGTACGTCTGCTTTCCTTATGCCTTTACATTTCTGGTTAGTTTTTGTATAGTTTTTTTAAGAAAATCGAGAACTTCTGAAAGATAAAATCAAATGAAAACGAAAAGTTCTGGAATAGAAAGTAAACTGGTAGTTATTTCACTGGTTGAAACCAGGGATGCCAACTGTGATGGTGGAGACAATAGGGACAATTTCCTCTCCCTCTCCCAAAGAAAATTAAAAGAACCCGTCAAATAAAACATCACTTTTACTCTGTGTGTGCTGCAAATTCACAGGACAGCCAAATGCCAGAGCATATGATTGTATTTTCACCTTAGAACTATTCAATAGCTTTGGATCTCCTAAATAATTTGCCCCATTCCCATACAAATTGTCATTCCATACAAAGATTTATGACTTACCTTTTGAATTTCTTAAATTCACGTTTCCTGTCTTTCTGATTAGAACTTTTAAAATTTCCAAATACTTTGATCCTCTGCAAGCTGCATAATGAATTGGAGTTTCACCTGTGATGTCTCGAATTGAAATGTTAGCTCCCAGATCAAGAATTACTTCAGCGAGAAGAGGCTTGTCTGGCATACTAAGTGCAGTACAGTGAAGAAGAGTCTAGAAACATGACAATATTAAATTCAATTTTTATAAATAATTTTATCTATATTATAGAATCGTTAAACTGTATAATTTAAGATACGATATTTTCTGTAACATTGAAAAAATAGCATTATTGTACTAAAAATCATATTCGGAATCAACGTTAATCATTCTGTATATTTGTTTGTTAAATTTCGTGCACCAGAGAGACTGGAGGAAAGAAAGCTAGACAACAACATCCACTGCAAACTGTTGGCCTATATTTTACCGATAAATAGTGGGACGACTGTCATATTGTAATGCCCCCCACTGATAAAATGGTGAACATATTCAGTGACGGGGTTCGATCACACAACCCGCAGATTGCCCTAAACACCAGGCCATGCCAGGATGTCAATCATTTTCATATTTCATACGTGTAAAACATAGAGAGAGAGAATTAAGGTATTATCAATTAATACTTCCCTGTATGTTCATTTTCCTGTAATTAGTCAACATTAGCAGCAATGTAACTTTACACCCAAACAATATATTTATTGATGTTTGAGATGCTTTTAAGATTAAAACAAAGAAATAAATAATAATAGAAAATGATGACTTAGGCAAGTTTAGTTAGAGAAATTGTGTACGAAAGTATTAGTAGTAACCAAATTAATTTATGAATTTATTTAGGTTTGAAACATTTCACTGTATGTTGGTTATAAAAATACATATCATCGTTTTCGACATACTATATTGTTAAATTAACAATATGGCACCTTGCTTAAACATTGAATTTTGTATAACAAAAACGATAAATCATTAAGTATGTTACTGATGTTTTTGTATATTTACAGAAACATATTTGTGAAAAGCACAAGATAAATTATTTAGATACAATATTTGTAGCATCAACAAAATAATAAAGAGCTTTTGAACTGTGTCATGATTATTTAAATATACCAGAAAAACAGTATGAGAATTTGACGACTTTTTGTGGCTTTTTCAATTACTTTCACGTAATCATAATAAATCACAATTCATATACATACTCTTCCATCCTTGTCATGATTATTTAAATATATCAGAAAAACAGTATGAGAATTTGACGACTTTTTGGGGCTTTTTCAATTACTTTCACGTAATCATAATAAATCACAATTCATATACATACCCTTCCATCCTTGTCCTGACAGTTGATCTCGTTTATACACTCTTGAATGCCTGTAAGTTTTTTCCAATACTCCAGTAAAACATAAGCTTGAAGAAGTTCGTTTTTCTTGATCGCACGGTGTATATAACTAGATAAATAGCATTTGTGTTTCATTCAGCTATGATTTTCTGAAGAGCGTTTTCATATAATGAATTCCACTTTGCTTTATTATAATTTTTTTTTCTGAAACACAATAGTCATTTTCTTTTTAATAACAAATACTAATATAAAATATTCATAAATATCACTCTGTTATTATGGTAAACAGTTATCACTGTGAAACATACACTGCAGTAAAACTAAAGCCATTTCAAACATTTCATACAATAATTAATTTATATAAATCTAAGTAAATAAAAGAACTTTGTTGAAACAGAATTTGTTACCTGAATCTGTCTTAAAACCGAATATTGGAATGTGTAATTCTGACTTTCAGATTTTCTTCCGTTTTGATACCAGTGGAGTAGTTTATATTATAAAGGTTAGCATGCGGGTCACAAGGTCCAATATTAGGGCCTCGATATGAATACACTCCATGCTTTCAAATTTCTGTGTGGTTATGACTGTGGTATACAGTCACATTAATAGTAGCCGCGTACAAGGCGGTTGCTTCTAACTTGTTTTGTTGTTGTTGTTGTTAAGCGAAAATTTATACCACAGATATCAATCTCCTATTTTAATGTTATAAGCCCTCAAGCTTACTGGCGAGACATCACCGCACTGATTCTAACTGATTTCTATCGTTCTGGTCATTTGATCTAATTAGAGGCTGCTTTTTGAGAAGTTCTGACCTTGAAAGTTGCTGAGTTGACCATTTAGCTTATGTATTGTAAAAGACGTCGTTCAAGTTTAAAATACTAGATTGATACCTTCAGACATTACTCAAGCGTTTTAGAAACGTCATATAGTATCGAGACAACTTGAATCTTTCTTTGATGGCAGGGTATATAACATGAAAATGTAAATAATGAGCCGAATAATAATGACTGTGTGTGGTTTTAGTTTGGTAACGTATGGTAGAATTGGTTGGTTAACCAAATAATAATGACTGTGTATGGTTTTAGTTTGGTAACGTGTGTCAGAATTGGTTGATTAGCCGAATAATAATGACTGTGTGTGGTTTTAGAATACAAACAAGTGTCAGAATTGGTTAGTTAGCCGAATAATAATAACTGTTTGTGGTTTTAGTATGGGAACGAGTGTCAAAATTAGTTGGTGAGCCGAATACTAATGACTTATACTTATATTTTTAAACTGGTAGCACGGGTCAGAATGGGCTAGTGAACCGAATAATAATGGTTGTGTACGTTTTTAGAATGTTAGCGTGGTAAGTTTAGTTTGTTTCCGCTTATTTGGAAGTTCGCGCAGTTATACGAGGGCTATGTGCGCTAGCCGTCCCTAAGTTAGCAGTGAGAGACTAGAGAGAAGGCAGAAGATTGCGAGTCGAGCACCCTAACCACATAATCATGCCAGGCTAGCGTGGTAAGATGAATACAGTCATGAAATTTCAGAATTTATTTAAGCTAAAATTGTGTTATCTGTTAACCTCTCAACTGTTTTATCATATCGTTTGTCACGTATTGTGTGAATATTAGAAATAAAAAATAATACTGGGGATGATATTGCTTTTAGAAGGGATTTTCGAACCGTTTTACGCATACTACGGGTGACACGTGGAGTTTGTCCTTATTTCTAGACCCGCCCTCCGCCTATATAGACCTGCCAGTATTTTCTTCCATCAAATTGGCAAAAGATCACACCGCATATTCGCTTTTTTAATTAGATCTTCATATGTACTTCAATTTTGGTGACGATAAAAAAATGCAGTAAAATTTAAAAGAGTGAAAAACAAACTATGATAAATTCTAACAAGGCAGGTCATTGCAACGAAAGGTAAAACTTCATTTGTATCTACACATTTCCTAAATTAATTAAATTATTCACATATTAATTTATACAACTTCAACCCATAGCAAAAGGTAGGTGTTAGATAAAATTTTCTTTTCAATTTAATGGCTACATTTTTTCCATAACATCTTACCTTCCGTTGTCATCAAGTTTGAAAATGAAGTTTTTTCCTGCATGTATCATCTTTTTAGTCACATCTTTAGCAAACGTATGTATATCTTGGAGGTTTAGGGTTTCGCGTAATTTCTTCAAAGAGTTCGTGGCTTTTTGCATAGAATTGAAGCCAGATTTGGCTTCCTTGCCGTTATTTGAATCTGAACATGAATAAATCTGCATCCGTGAAACAGCAGGCGATTGACTAAAGGGAGATAAAACACTAATTGGAATAATATTGCTAAGCAATTAAAACACATGAATTTAGAAATTATTGCATCTTTACTGTGCATAGTGATAAGCACATGATAAATTATTCAATATTTCAATCTATTTATAAGATAGGAAATTAAGATATTCAATAAAAACATAAAATAGAAGAGGTCAAAATATTAAACCTCGTGCAACTCTTTGAAGGAAAATGTTCATTATGCATGACACAAAAATTTAAGAGGGATTCTCTATCTGCATGTAGAAGACTTGTACGCTATACATTGAGGTCCTTCTCTCTACACACTTTCCAAAAAATAACTCCGTGGAAGACGTCTTCTGAAGGTTTGTTTGTAATTAAGCACAAACTACATAATGCCCATTTGAGCAAGTACACAAGCCTATGTTGCAGCACGAAATTTCGTTTATATTTACATCATCCAATATGATTTGGCATGTTGACTCTGACATGTTGTTAGATGTCTTAATTTGATGAAGCCACATAGCATTGGCATCCAATTCATATGAAATCGGTATTAAAATAATCGGGATTCCGTCTTCAGCAGATTAATCTTATTGTATACAGATTTTATGTTAGTATTTTTATCGACTATCCGGATGTTTAACTTTAAATTATAGCGGTAACTTTCAAACCCAATTAATCCCTTGAAAACAAAATCATCCAACATGCTTTGTACCATTTATTAAATGTTCTATCACCAGCAGAAGAAAATAAATGTTCCAGCCCTTTGCAGACGCATACAATTGTCCATTATTATGACATACTTCCATTTGTCACATGTCAGATGATGCTCGTACAACTTTCAGTAGTTAGCATTCTGCTCGACTTTGTTCTTTGAGAGAAACTTGTGAATATGGTACTTGAATTGATTTTAGACCTAAATCCTTGAGAGCTGTTTCTTTTCAGTACTAAAAGAGAATCCTATTTCATTTGCAATGGACCATTGTGCTCTTTCGGTACTTTTGGTGACAAGCTGTTTAACTTGATTCACTTCTTCTGGTACATGACTGTTAGCCATTCGTGGAAGAACCTGTTTCTTTCCCTACTGGAACCACATTTTCCCTTTATTACTAATAGGTTTCGAATCTAATTATATTTCATTATTCGAAACGCTAAGTGTTTGTGCATGAACGCTTTTATAATCGTAATATAGAAAATTCACATCAGAAAGCCCTTCTCATATACAGCAAATTTTACTGTGGCTTCCAGAGTTGAACGGTTTGTCTGATTGCTTATTCATTTAAGCTAAAGCTTTGGAGTCCACTAGAGGTCCTCTACCAAATTTAATCGAAATCGGTTCAGCCAGTTCCTGACAGACAGACAACTCTTTACATATGTGGATATGTTTGATACATATTATATATATATATAATAAAAAGTGGTTAGAAGACATTATAACTTTTAAGTTGTTATATGTTAGTGATCAGTATGACAACAACAGGCCTAGGATAACACACATTCTATTCTCATATTGATTTCAGTTAATCTTACTTTGAGTAGCACTTATTTTAAATTATAATCCATACAACAAGCAAATGCATATCGAATACCTCTTCTTTTATCCTATACGGTTACATAAAAGTGTTTAAACAGTCTAAATGTACAATTATATTATTTTATACAGAAATTGACAAAAGTGATTGATTTCACGGAAATCGTCAATACCTTTCATGCAACTCACTGGTGTTCTGTCTATTGCTTGGTTTTGGTAATATTTTTCTGTTTCGTACAGACGGCTTTGTGGCTGGTTGGCATATTACAAGTGGCATATTAGCTATCATTATGTTTGTAGTTTCTGCATTTGGAGTACCTTTGAGTTCATAGTTGATTATATTTCCTATGTTGTCCTCGAAAATGTGCTGGTCGTTTGAATGTCCTGAAACATTAGGAACTTGAAGTAAAGAATTATCAAAAGATAATGTTGAGAATCCATTTCTTGAGCTTAAAATCTTATTACCATCGGATTCGACCGGAGTTGGCTTGATGTTATTTTTATTAGTTGACCACGTAAAATTTGTTTCTTTTGAATTATATAAAGTGTTATCACGTTTAGGCAAGCTTGAAGTAATATCACTATTCTGTGAAGTGCTTTTAGAAGCTACTAGTTCCGGTACTTGTAAAGGAGTCGATGTTTCTATTATATCATTTGGTGTGACAGAACTGGTCGTTTCCAAAAGATCATAGTTTTGAAACATAGGCTCATAATACTCAAACAGTACATTTGTTTTGGCATTCGAATTTTCGGAGTAATTTTCTTGATTAAACGACAGACACGATTTTACTGCTATTGGTTCCTTGGACGTGTGAAGAGAGAATAAATCTTGGCTCTTGTTGGAGTTAATAACTGGAGAATTCTGAAAGTATTCCGTGGTGTTGGAAATTGAGTATAAAGAATTATTATTAACTCCAAAAAGATTCTTTTCAAAGTCAGTGTCCTGTTGAGTATGATAGAGAACGGATGAAAGTGTTTGTGTATCATCAAAACCGTGCAAATTAGCAAGTTTCTGGCTGGGTATTGAATTGTAGTTAAAATCTTGCAGAACGAAGTTTTGCTCTTCTGATGATAAGACATGAGAAGTGACAGGGTCTGTGTTTTTCAGGCTGCAATTAAATGGCGAAGAGTTTGATGTATTATTTGAATCTTGAATATTATAACTGTGATCAATTTCGAATAAACAGCTGGAATTAGCAGAGTTTTCAGACAATTTTCTCTCATTATATATGGAAGGGAATACTGAAGGCATAGTGACTGCAGTATCTGCACAGTAATTTAAAGAGGCTTGGGAAAGATGACAATTATGTGTGGCATACACGGTATCAAAGGTTTGAAAGTTATAATCTAATTCTTTAGAGTAACAAATAGATGACGTATCAACCGCTTCTGATAAGGAATTATAGCTTGTCGATGGGTTAGGAAAATGTGTGTTATTGACGACTTTTGAAATATCGGTCATGAAGCTCAGATTTTCGATACAAGCTTGTTCACTCAAACCATTACATGATTTAAACTCAGAAATGTTCTCACACTCCTTAGATTTTTGATGAGTTGAATATTTGTCTTCATTTTCCATAACAAAATCAAGGATATTCTCTGGAATACTAAGAGAACATTGGTTAGAAGGTAAAATCTCAATTGATCTTTCATATTCGCTCAATTCAATAGATCCTGATCGATCGGAAGTTGGACTACTGGATAAAATTTCTGAAATAGGTGATGTAACAGCGCTCTGATAAAAACTACCAGAACTGATGGAAGATTCTGGAGAAAACTGATTGCGTACAATAGTTTCTGAAAACAACTGACGGTCCAAATCCGTCTCATTTGAAACAGCTGAACCTGCAGACAGTTGCTCATAATTATCTGTATTTGTCCACAAGTGGGATATGTCTTGAAAACAATCCAAATCGATTAGATTCCGTTCTCTAGTGATACTGCAATTGTTAACTGACATCTGCATCTTGCAATATGGGGTCTTATTTCTCTTGCGAGTGTGATTGTTTTTGTGGGAAGGTGCTCTTACTAAAATATTCGATTCATTTGCGTCTTCGTCAGAATCCGACCCAGATTCTAAGTTTGTCAAACATAAACAGGACGTTTTACTTATAATCTGACTTTTGTTTTGGCCGTCATTTTTCGCGCTTAAAGAAAGGGATTCCAGTTCTTTTCTTGTCTTATTAATGTCTTCGTTAATGCTTTCTCGAAAACTTTCTAGCACGCAAATATTGTATTTTAAGTTCTGATGTTTTTGTTCACTTTCTTCACTTAAGTTATTGTTAGCAGCAGCATTTTTGTCACTAGATTTCTGTAACATATGGATATTGTTTTTCAAACTTTGATGCTCCTCTTCATGTGTTTCAATTGTGATACTAATAGGAGCATTGTCTTCCTCACCATTTTTTCGGGAATTCTGTACGATATCAGTGTTACCTTTTAGGCTTTGCGTCTCCTGTGCGTGTTTCATAGTTAATGTTTTCTTGGGAACATTGTTTTGATTAGGTTGTCTCTCACTTACACCGTCCACTTTATGATCCTGTGTATCCATCTTCATCAGAAAAGAAAATAGATGCTGAAGACATTACTTTCGTTTTTTCAGGTAAATTATATTTGCATCATTTCTACAGAAAAAATGAAAGAGAAAAAAATAAGAAATTATGTCAACAAAACTATTTTCAGTTGAAAACAATAATAAACTTTGTGAAATATTCTAGTTCCAACTAAATTTTTTGAGTAATATCCTTAATACATCTTAAGCTACGTCGTAAAAGTTCACATCTGAAATATGAAATTTCAGTTGTGTTTTGTATTCATATAAGTAGCAAAGTAGTATTTTTAATATATATATATATATCAACTCGTATAATATAATAATGCAGTATCGATTATTCCGTTACAGATTATATTATAGTTTTACATTGATACATACATTTAAAGTAAACTAAGTTTATCAAGAATTGATAAAATATTTTTATAACACTCGTCATATTTTCTACCAAACTGTGTCAACGTTTATCCAGAAGCTATGCATTTCTGCAATCATTTTGACGATTAACAGTTGTTTAATAAAAATAAAAATCCTACTGTAGTCATACTCCAGTCCCCCGGTGGGACAGCAGATAGCCCGATGTAGATTTGCTAAATGAAAACACACACACACACATACTCCAAAGTGAAATGTGAGTAAAACCCTCAGATGAGAAAACTGAAAAAGTTTCTAATTTTAATATATTAGACAATATATATATATTTTATCTTTGAAGTGAAGTTTTATTCAAATTATCAAATACCTATTAAGAAAGCTCACCAAATGCATGTCAAAAATACTATCGCGTAATAAAAAATCATATAAACTCAACATAATTTTGTATATAAGTAAATAGCAAGGTCCGGCATGACCAGATGGGTAGGGCGCTCGACTCGCAATCTTAGATTCGCTGGTTCGAATCCCCGTCTCACTAAACATACTCGCCCTTTCAGCCGTGGGGACGTTATTATGTGACGGTCAATCCCAATATTCGTTGGTAAAAGAGTAGCCCAAGAGTTGGCGGTGGGTGGTGATGACCAGCTGCCTTCTCTCTAGTCTTACACTGCTAAATAAGGGACGGCTAGCGCAGATGGCCCTCGTGTAGCTTTGCGCGAAATCCATAACAAACAAACAATATAAACAGCGACATCTCAGATTCCAAATGTTTAAAAAGTATCTGTATAATTATCTACCTAGCTAAATGTTAGGATATTTACGTACTTAAATAACAAGAAAATTATATTTAAAATGTGAGTCAAACAATTAGGACACGTAGTAGATAGAAAACAATAAATAAAAAGCCTTACCCTAACCAGCAAGCTTTTGGTCACAAAATGATTTCAAAATGATTAAATTGTAAGGACGAGTTAAAAGGTGGAATTAAACTTTGGTTACCAGAACGAACAAAAACTTCAAACTGTGGAATAAACACAATTCCAACATTCTAGAGTATTTTAATAAACCAAGAGAAGTGACAGATCGGATATTCTTATATATATATATATATTTGTGTGTGTGTGTCTTGCTAGCTAAAATAACTTCGGATGGACCTATATAGAGTAATCTTCGTAAATTTTGGTAGTCTTAGGACGACAATAACCAAAGGTTGAACACTAATATCTAAATTAAAGATTTAATAAGTCAAAATACGTATTAATTTAGGTGTTTTTCATAAATTATAATATATTATGTACATGTGTGAAGCACAATATGCTAAGATAATGGCCTATTATTTTTGTAAGCAAAGTTTAAAGAAATGAATATTTAGATTTGAGTAAAAAAAAACGTTAAAAAACAGTCAGTAAGGTTACATGCATTATATATTAAATAAGATAAATAAGAAATAATCCATAAAACACAAAACTCAATAACCCAAAAGCTTTCGGAATATAGAATTTCTTTCTTTAGAGGTGAATTATAAATGAGTGTAAAGTGTGAAAGTCAGTAAAGTTATTTTCAGTCATGTCATCGATGTATATAACAGCACATCATGGCAACTTAGAAGAATTTGTATGTTATAGCTACTGATCAGTCCTAAAATGATTAAGTTTTCTAACAGTTAAAATTAATTTAAAATCAAATTAAACTGAAAGATTTTAATGACGCTATTTCACACAAGCCAACATACCTGTTACCAATATGAGATAAATTTTAAAAATTCAGAGATTGAAGCTGTCAAAACAAAACATTTATTGTATCACTTAAGCAGATTGAGTATGGCATACAAACATGATGCAAGGCATCGCATCGCATAAATATAAATTCAATATGGATTTAGTAAAAATAAGTTTTATGGGTGTTTCATTTCCTTTCAACGTCCGGAACTACGTAATGCCGTAGGATGACGAAGAACAACCAATTACATTCTGCCGCTAGTTCCTCGTCTAACAGATCGTACATTACATTTACATGCACGTTCTTAGACGTGAAAACCAAGGGTTGGCTTATGATTTTAGCTAAGATCTCGTGAGTCGTGACTCAAGAATTACGCCATTTTTTTTCACATTAGTTGCCTAACAACAGTTTACTTATGTATACTTGATTATTTTTTCGTTAGTATTTAATTATTTCTATGTGATTAAACCTATGCCTCTAGCCATACCTTAAGTCATCTATTTTTCATACCGTTTGTTTTCTAGCCTATTTATATAACTTTCCAATTAGTATCGATTATATTATTTTTTTCCTGTTCTTACTTTAGTTAATATGCTTTCTCATTTTACTCACTACGTACATCCAAACTATTTGACAATCATATCATTTATAGATTCTGAGTTTGATAACCCCGTAAGTCAAAAGAACTATTTGAATATTCCTTCAGAAGGTCTTTGGTAACTCATTCCCTTGTCTTGTTCATTTTCCTTTTAATTGTTCACACATGATTTAGTTTGGCTTAATTTTGTAAATTTATTATAATGTTCGAGAATTATCACTCCGCAAATAGTATAACTGAACATTCTTATCATATACTTTTTGTGCTTAATTATGCTTAGAAAAGTTTAGTTGATTACCTATTAATTGATTATTTTAATCTTATTTTTAGCACATGCTACTAGTCTAATTTTGTAAGCAACTCTGTCAATATTGTTATATATGATCCAGCCCCCCAGTTGCACAGCGTTATGTCTACAGACTTAAAACGCTAGAAACCGGGTTTCGATACCCGTGGTGGGCAGAGCACAGATAGCCCATTGCGTAGTCTTGTGCTTAAGTACAAACAAACAAACAAATATATGATCCATCTATACTTGCTCATCTAAACCCGGTTTTTGTCTTGACGTTACTTCTGATAAAAATCCAGTTCATCCTTTTCAGTTATTCTTGAATAAATATGTTTAAGTGTAAGGCTTCAAACTCTTTCTTGATCAAAATCACGACCTAGAGGGTTGATTAATATATTACGTAAAACCTAAAATCATGTTATAAGGTGCCGTTAAACCGATTGTTGTCAGTCTAGGTTAACCACAAGGCCAGTGAATATTTATTTGTTGCGTCGTACTACAGTCGTACTACAAAAATTTAGTTGTCTTTCGATTGTCCGAAAGTTGAAAGGACAATAATGTCTATCAATATAACGAAAAATTTTGAAACGCTTTAGTACTTTAAAGCACACTATTTAAATATAATTTATTACCACTAGAATGTTACCCATTAATTACTAAAGTAGCGCTTTTATAACAATTATCCAGCAATGATTCATCAGCTGGATAATGTCCTTGTTAGCTACATTTTCGGCCATAATCCAATTAATATATCAAAAGTTTGGCCCAGCTAAGGAAGAAGAGTAAGGATAGTCCTAAATCCATATACTAAGCTAACAATACAACATTATGCACGTACAACAAAATGAATACAAGATATGTATGTATATATATAATATAGAATTAGAAATAATAAAGGCAATTTATTATATAATAGCGTAAGTACCCGGCTTCGCTCGGGTTATTAGGTCGATCTTGTGTGTATTCTGAGCCCATTTTAGCATAAAAGTGTAACCTATATACTTATGTTGCTAAGCAACATGACATAAAAGTCATTGTTGTAAAGCATTGTTACCAAAACGCACTGGCTTTTCTATATATTAGAAGTTGTTATATAAGGAGCCACTTCTTTTCTATGTGATTTTTCGCTAGCTTTCCTCATTAAAAAGATGCACACGCGCATGCGTGTACACACGCGGGGTACATTTAGTATGGGTGCAAAATTTCAGGTTTCTAGGTTCTTTCCTCTTGGAGCCATGGCGGGCACACACAAATATACACGCATGTGCATTTCTGTCTGTCTGTGATTTCTATTTGTAATATTTGTTTTGGAATTTCGCGCAAAGCTACACGAGGGCTATCTGCGCTAGCCATCCCTAATTTAGCAGTGTAAGACTAGAGGGAAGGCAGCTAGTCATCACCACCCACCGCCAACTCTTGGGCTACTCTTTTACCAACGAATAGTGTGATTGACCGTCACATTATAACGCCCCCACGGCTGAAAGGGCGAGCATGTTTGGTGGGATGCGGATTCGAACCCGCGACCCTCAGATTGTGAGTCGAGCGCCTTATCCACCTGGCCATGCCGGGCCTTGGTAATATAAGGAACCACTTCTTTTCTATGTTGTTTTTCGCTAGCTTACCTCATTAAAAAGATGCGCATGCGCGCACGCACGTGAATAAGATAAGTAATAATATCTAGGTGTACACCCTCAGGGTCCACTTAGTATGGGTACAAAATTTCAGGTTTCTAGGTTTTTTTCTCTTAGAGTTATGGCGGTCACATATACACACAGAGACCCACAGACATACCCTTATATTATTATAGATATGTTACGAAATTGTGTATAAGGAGCTTTGGTTAGGGTTCAGAGAAGTGAGAAAGTAGCCGACTTTTGGTCAGCCTCTAAGGTATTAGAAAATGACTGAAGTAACGAAATGCCTAAGTTCAGCAGTATGAAACAATAAGACCCCTTATAGTAGTGAAATGTTATCATCCGATATACGAAACAAAACATTTTCAAGCTCAAGAAGAAAGGACCTGTTTAACATGAGTTTGAGAAAGAAATAAAGAAGGCGGGAGTTCAGCGAAAAGAAAGAAGACTGAGAGATGTGTGAACGAATATACCAACTGAGGCAAAAGAAGAAAGTGATATGCTGCCAATAAGAAACTAAACCTATTTCTAAGTTTATATGTTGTATTTTACATTAATAAACAGCAATTTGTTATGTTTACATTGGCATAAGTCAATTCCTGACAGGATTAAGTACAACCTAAATATAGTTGATGGACGTAAGAAGGGAATGCGAAGGGCGAGTATACCACGAACGAAAAAAATACATAACATTTTAACCAATACTTTTTATTAAACTAGCATTAAAGAAAGAAAAGTAAATAACTCACTTACACTTTACACGCTTACCAGGTTAAAATAAGACCGTACACAAACACAGAAAATGTTTTCTATTACAACAACAATTTAATATAGTGATTTTCTTTTCTAACATATGTAGCATCATACTTTGTTCAAGCTAAAAATTAACAAAAACTCATATGTGATAAAAATATGAACTAAATTAAATTATTAATTGCAATAAATAGATATTGTTCCATTTTTCTAGACACTGTGCAATAAATCAGACATGCATGGCTTTCTTGATATGTTTGTCAATTATGTTACTAACACACATGCAAGACAGAGGAACAATTTTAACCTCTAATTGTGGAATATTCTGTAACCGATACTTTCTAATGACATCTTTATTACTTTCTTTTTAAAGTACAGAAAATTCACTATTTCTGAGTACAACAGAAAACACACACTTACATTCCTTCGTCGTTTTTACTGGCAATAACCTACAGCGACAAGTTAGGATTCCCTTTACTTTCATCCGAAATATTCAGTTAACAAGCGGTTTCTATACAAAATACGCAATCACGTGTAAAATATTGTCGCTTGTTTTAGTTTTAATAGAGTACGAGAGTGTTACATACAAGCACTGAAATCGGGGTAATCTGTTTGACTGAGGGCGTAATGTTTCTACACTAAACTTTAATCTTTGCTTTTGTAGACATGTAACGCAACTACTTCCTTCATGACGTAATTATATCAGAAAATAGTGCATTGAATAACATATTTACATAACAGTTACCAACATCTACTTATGCATGTTTAAGCTCAATTGTGTGTTATATAACTATGATAATGCTTATCTGTTAATAGTTTATTTGTTATATCGTATATCTCGAATCAGAAAAAAAAAAACTGACAGCAAACCAACGTTACGAAATCTCATAGTCACTTAAATGTTGTTTTAATACAGTTGTTCAATAAGAACATTTTCAAATCGTGTCTTTAAAAAAAAACGAATTGATAATTAATACAGTTACCTTCAACTGATTATTATTAACAAAATATCTCGTATAGCAAGAACGTTTGATACTGAAACAAGCGACAGAAATAGAATGTAACTGTAAAATTTAAATAAACCATTAAAATAATATTAAAAGGAGTGTAGTTCTTCCTGAAGAAGAAGAATAGTTCGTGTTATGATATAAAATTAAACTTATTCACACATTTTAATTTCAAGTTTTAACAGAATTAATTACAAATTACTTCACTAACAGTTTCTTCTCTACATATCGTGATAAATACGACAAAAGAAAGAGACTATTGAATTATGAAATAACTAGTAATCGATTGTTTGTTTGTTATGGATTTCCGCAAAGCTATCTGCGCTAGCCGCCCCTAATTTTGCAGTGTAAGACTAAGGGAAGGCAGCTAGTCATCACCACCTACCGCCAACTCTTGGGCTACTCTTTTACCAACGAATAGTGGGATTGACCGTCACATTATAACGCCCCACGGCTGAAAGGGCGAGCATGTTTGGTGTGACGGGGATTCGAACCCGCGACCCACAGATTGCGAGTCGAGGCCCTAACCATCTGGCCACGTCGGGCCCTAGTAATCGAATAGTAAAATGAATTTCCGTAATATCTTAAAATGAGCTTTGTAATTACTTTACTAAGGTTTACAGATATATCTCCTACTTGTCTACGTTAAGTCATCATCTCAAGAATATTTCATAAAAGTAAGAGGATATAATGCTAGAAAATTATCTTTCTAATAGTAAATAAACTCGATATGAAACAATTATTTTCTTTTCAATCACATTACTTCTTCAGTTAATATTACCGATTTTATAAAAGACCACTCAGTCTTCGACCGTTTCTTGGATAAATTGAATTTGAATGAAACACAACATTCCTCATAGTGGCACAGCGCCAAGTCTGCGGACTTATAACGCTAAAAACCGAGTGCCCGTAGTTGGCACAGAATAGATGGTTCATTGTGTAGCTTTGTACTTAAATACAAACAAACGAAGACAGCATTTTCATTTTAAGATGCGATAAATTCTTAGGAATCCCTCGTATGGTGCTTCTGTGGTGTAAAAAATATGTACTATTAACTGATACGTTAAATTATTTGAGCTTTTAAGTACCATAACTCGTTTTTTGTATATAGCTGTGCTGAACCATTAGTGATTCTTAAGCGTTTTTGGCTCAGAACCAACTTGTAAACATTTATGGCCAGTCGTGATCTAGTAAATAGCTTTAGTGTAAAAAAGTATCTATTTTCAAAGTGTAACCGCGACTCTTTCATATATTCTGACCACCCAATTTTTGGTCGCGACCCATGGGTTGTGTAACGAATTTGTTGTTATGTATTTATTTTAATATGAACATTGTTTAGATTAAATTTATATTTAGAAACATACGTAGTTTATACTGTTAGAAACTCCCGTCTATTCTCCAAAGTTGTAGAAGATTCTCGAAAGAAAGAATCAAAAATATATACGAGTATATACACGTAAACTCTTTAACCAGTATTGTTACGTAAGACTGAATTTTTTGGAAAACTTTTCCACGCCTATAAATATAACTAACGCGACGCACCAGGAGAGCGTCTATTATTAGTTCGCTATAATCGGTGTGCTATAAAATTTCGAAAGCTACAACTGTGATTTTTATAACGCTTATCAATCGGAAAACTTAAGATATTTGACCAGGAATATTTATAAATTTCGAACGTTACAACTCGTTTAACTTCAGTGGATTCTCATCGGAAATTAGTATTTTTATGAAAACATTACCTACCTTCAACGGTGGTAAACAGCGTGTGTGGCCAAGGAGACAAAACTAGCTAGCTTCCTGGCGAATCGTACTAACATCAACTCGCTTATCGTAAACCCTTGATAAGATATCAAGGATTGACAAGTAATTTCCAGACTAGAACGAAAACTTTATATTTTTGTAAGTTTGTGAAACTTTTGTTTGTGAATCAGTGTTTGTAATAACTATTTGTAATAATTGTTATCGTAAATTGTATTGTTGTGAATATATTAAAATGTATTTGTGTTAAAAAAGAAAATTGTGTGTATCAATCTTGTTGGCAAATATTACAAACTGATTATATATCGGCATTTATTTAAATACTAAACTCAAAGTATAATTTAAATACTAAATTTAAATTATTTAACTCGGCTTCAAACTATTCGAAATTCTAATAAGTAACAGTTGACAAACGTAAAAAGTGATGACGATTTAATTAATAAAATCCTTAGCACAAGACATAGAAATGTTATTCAAGTATAACTGCACTGATTAAAACTAATTAAACGATTAGCATAACTCCGTATATTACAATAAATAATACTTTTCATAAGGCAGTAGTATTATGTCTATTATATTCTTAAAGTCCAAAGAAACGGTAGTTTGGTTTTGTAGAATTTTGTCCAGGTTGGTTTTCATACTTTTATTTATTTCTAAAATTTCCATGATATTTAATTTTTCTACCTTAGTCATACACATGAGAAACTTTACAGTTTTTTTTTTTTTCGGATGAAATTGGTGTGTCATTTCCATAAGACTGGATGCGAAAATTAAATCTATTTTCTACAATTCCCAGCTTCTTGAACTCTTGTTTCCATGAAAAGTCCTTTCTGACATATATATATGTGTGTGTACAGTATTGCAATTATTTCACGTTAATTGGTAAACACCACTATGGCTTTATTTTCAATTTTGTCTTTGTTTTTACAAACATTTTGCCCAAATTGTCTGTACAATAGAAGACTACTTTATAGATTTATTTATTCAGTGTGTTATATATTTTGTGAGAAGGTTACCCAAAGTAACTTAGTTGTACAGCCATCATTGAATGCAAATTGTTTTTAATTCAGTTTCCCAATCTTCAGATAGACAAGGGTACAATGATAAGTCTGTGTAACAAATTATGGAAATCGAAAAGTTTGTGAGATATTAGACGTCTTGAAGAAGTGTGTATGATTGTGTTGATATAAGACAGCTTTCTGAAAATTTTGTAGGAATGTATGCCGTTATTTGTGTCAATATTTAAGTGTTTTTTTTTAAATAATGTTTCACATTTCCCAGTATTCCATAACAAATATAATAGATTTGTTCTGTGAGAAAATTATCAAGTTGATGTTTGGAGCCTGTCCAGAAACAAATGTCATCATCAACATATCTGTACCATCTTTAATATCTTCTGTATTATTTTCATCGCTAAACAGTTTTTTCTGTAAATCATCCACGGAGAGAGATGATGATGAGGGAGACTCATAGTTAACCCGTCGTTCTGTCTAGTTATTTGAAGTAGTTCTGATCTAAGCAAGTGATTATTATTGTTTGTAAATCTAGGACTATTACAAGGTTTTCTTTTTCTTTATCTAATAAATCACAAATAATTTGTTTACATCCTTTGACATTGAACTAGTGAAAAGATTGCAAACATCAAACGAAACAATTTTGATGTTATATGGTATCTCTACATTTTTTGTATTTTTTCCACAAGCCCCAAATAGTTTTTATACTGTATTTAGATTTAAAACAGTTAGAATTTTTGAAAATATTGTGTGCTTCCTGTGATAGTTTTAGACGGATGCATTGAACACCAGATTTGATCGGGATATTAGTTTTGTGCAGTTTAAGAAGTCCTTAGAGACGAGGTGGTTAAGAGTTCATAACAACTTAGCTTTATTACAGAATAAGATTCAACATTATGTGCTACCTCTACATCTACTGCGATATATTCAAAGTCGTTTACATTTTTGTTTTGTTCAAAATATATCTAATATAATTTTCATTTAGAAGCGTGAGATTGTTATATATGGGGAAGTTGTTGATTTTATCATGACAATCTTGTTTTTCAAGTAAAACTGTCGCATCACTTTTATCCGCCTTGGTGATTATTAAACTATCATTGTTAAATTTAGAGTTTATTGATTTAATCAATTTGGACTCCTCATATCCCAATCCAAAATATTTCTCAAAAGAAGTTTGGATAATTGTAGAGAATATACGCTTTATTACAGAATAAGATTCAACATTATGTGCTACCTCTACATCTACTGCGAGATATTCAAAGTCGTTTACACCTAACATAATTTTGGGGAAATATTTTAAACCTTTGCTTAGTAAATTTGATTAATTTTTCGTGAACTCGGACTTCGAAAGATTTACTAGCTTTGGATGGAAATTGAATGGTATTATATTTCTAGATTTGAACTATTTTTATATTTACTCATATTGTCCAGTTTTCTTCTCTGATTCAAGTAAGTACTATGTACCAGCCGACTGCATTTTCTCGCATGTCTCTGTTCAGCAGATCAGATTCGATTGGATGCAGCTGGAAACACAGTTCACTATGAATCTCACACCGAAATACATCACATTAAAGGCTATAAAACACGACATATCCAGCCAAAAATGCCCTGGAATCTGGCTAAAAGAAGATAATTAAGAAGTGGTATAGCATTAGGAATTTCAAGTGCAAACTGGAGGGATTCAGACATTTTGGAAATAAAGTTAAAGAAAAAAGGTTACCTTTACTATCTAGATAATAATAATAAAACTTTTTATTTGAGGCAATGTCAATTTTGCTTTGTTTGAATTTCTGATAAAAATGTTTCTCTTTTTTTTTATTTCTCAGGTGAAAACATGTTGAATGTCAAATAAATTATTTGTGTGATCAGGCCATTGAAAAATTTCTCTGTAGTCAAAGATAATGCACTGAATACTCACAAATTACAAGGTATTGATAACATGAAAAAGTCTATTTCAGCTCTTGTAGTAATAGACACGTACTTCACTTTACCAGCAGACGCGCTTATCCCACGTCTATCTCAACATTGCGTAAGACGCTCAGAAGTGAACACAGATCATTTGCGAAACGCCTACGTGTAATTCAAGGAATTGGCCGATATCTAGTGGAGTATACGTAAATACTGATATCTAAACTCGAGGATGTTTATCAGTAGTGCACGTGTGTAAGAAACTGCAATATGTGTAATGTAATTTAATACGTGGACGAACGTGCGAGTAGATATACTTTCAGACAGAGAGATGGACAGAAGAACAAACATAAAATATTTAAAATGCATAGACAAACTATATTCTAATTTTCGCAATATCTATAACCCTATTTTCTAGAGAATTAAGAAGGAATTTAAACTCGCAAAAATGTATACCAAAAATATTAGAAACAGTTTAATTTTCTATTTTACGTCATAGTGTGGAATGTTAAAAATAATTTCAATTTCAAAAAGAGATGGAACAAACATAAGGACCTGTGATTGTGTGGTGGTTAGGACGTTAGACTCGCAATCTGGAGTTCACAGGATGCTTGTCCTTTCAACCATGGAGGCTATGTAATTTAACGGTCAATCTTACTATTCATTGGTAAAGAATAACTCAAAAATTGGCGGTGGGTATTGTTCATTCGTTACCTTTTCTCTTGTTTATCACTTCCAAATTAGGTACTGTTAGCGATAACCCTTAAGTAGCTTTGCGCAATATTCAAGAAACCAACAAACAAAGAGGTATTCTCTTGTGCATCATTCATATCGTGATATGTAAAAACGTGTACCCATGAGTAAATTTTTAAGATAAGAAGCTGTTATGATATCATCCTATGTGTATTGTTACGTTTTAAAGAGCTTTTACTAAAATACGTATAACAATGATATTTTAGATATCAGATTAATATGTGATGAAGTTTTCATTCCACTTGTTACTGAGTATTATATGAGTCTAAAGAAAGAAAAAGAAGAATATGGTGAACAAATAGGACAGTATACAGCTAGAAGGCCACTGGTAATATTATTAAATAAACTCCCTTGTATTTTAGGCAGTCCCTAAGAATTGCATCAAGTACTCAATTTAAATACTTATTTGCATGTGTCTTCTTGGTATGTTGACGACATTGCTGTATGGAGTAATTCACTAACTCCTCTTAACACTGCAGCTAAATTGCAAACTTCTTTTATTAAACTTTAGTGAATTACTGCTCATTCTTAAAAACAATCTACTAACAGTTTTCATTCTAAAGAAACTTGATATATGCTTAACGTCCACTATAGTTGTAAGACCAACAGTAGTTTTGCCAAGACTGCAACTCCAGAAGTCAAAGATTTGCTGATTGTTTGTTGACAGTGATTGGAATTTCTAAGTATACGAATTTCTAGCCCATTAAGGGTAGTTCTGTGAGATAGCTACTGTCATGTTGACTAAAGACAGCGTTGCTCTAATTATCATGTATCTAGGTATTTGAAAAGACAGTGGACTAATTGCTTTTCCGCATTTGATTGACGAGTGTCTTTCTTCAGATGTTGTATTTTGAGGTAAGAAAGATAGGAAAATATCTGTCCTGTGGTTTTACTTCACCACTCGTCCATGGTAATCCTCAAGCTTTTGTTTTACTGATTAGGTCTACCAATACTACAGGAACCACAGCTTTTCAGAAAAAGAAATATATTGCAGCCAAATTTACATAAAGAAAACGGAACATATACTTAAAGAAATTTGTAGCATGCACAATTATATCCACAAACATTTTTGACAAAAAATACTTATTCTGCATAATCACAAACTTAGCCGCTTCAGAATAATCACCCTCTGTCATTCATCACTAAAATACATTTTTCTTTTGATTTTTAATACATATTTTTGCTTAAGCTGTTTTGCTATTTCTTATTTAAGCATTTTACTTAATATTTATTCCTTATCTATTTATTTCATTTTTGTTGTTTGTTATTAGGCACAAAGCTACACAAAGGGCTATCTGCCCATCACGGGTATCGAAGCCCGGTTTCTAGTAATATAAGTCCGCAGACATATCAATGTGCCACAGGGGGGTTCATTTTTGTCACTAAAGAAACATTTCCTTTACAACATCCATCACTAAGTGTTTGTTAGCATCAAGTACTACACTGTTGAAGTTTTGGAGTCAAGTTGTGGACTGGTTACGGATCTAGGCAGCTTGTAACATAAATTTAATTTTACGTTTTTACAGATATTTTTCACAACCACTGACCTTGGAAGGTGGCTTTACAAAACAAGAAGTTCATCACCGATCTTGAGCTTTTAGAAAATAACTCGTGGTGTTAGCACCTAGTATCATTAGATGTAGTAAAACTGGTCAATGTCCTTCAGCCACTTAAATCAACTTTTCTTATCTTTGTCACCCAGAAAAATCCCTGTTACCTTATTGGGTCTATTCCCATAGACAGGATGAGACATCTCTTAATCTGCTATAAATAGAGTTTACGTGGGCCTGCTTCTTCCTGGTATTTTACAGCCTGTCGTTCTAGCCTTTTCAGTACATTGCATGTACAAGACATGTCAGCCTTGACTCTGTAAATGGACCACTGAGACTGGCTTAACGTGTCCGTCACTTTAATATTTGTTTACAGTAACTATAAAAGGCATAATTGGTTGAAAACTTCCATAGAATCTGCTTATTGGGTCTTGTGGTCATGTTTGGCTCCTGTTGTGTTCTCACATAGCTTAGACAAGCTGTTATTTCACTTAATTTTAACTTTTTATAAGGTTCATATGTCTACATTATACGATTATTTTCTTTGCCAGTGTAAACAATGCTTAAATACTAACCATGTAATGGTCTAAAATCAGGGTTCAACAACATAATACAATTTATTCACCAATAATAACACTTAGAAATAAATTCATACTTAAAAAACATAGTTACTAAAAAGTATTATTTCAAATAATGGAATCAGGAAAAAGAATCATAAAGAAAAAACATAATTAAAAAAATTACAAATTAGAGCACACATAATATTCCAAAATTACCTTTCAATATTAATAACAACATCGAGTGACAAACAAAAATAATTTACTAACTGTCTCGTGACACACTCTCTTAGTGGAGCTTTTGGTAGGGCATTTAGGTAACGATGGAAATATACACCTGGAAAAAAA